GTCACATTCTGCCAGCAAGGAGGAAGAAGGGACACGTTCTTCCCGTGTCCCTCTCTGTCCTTCTCCCACAGCTTCATGGCCCAAGGTCACACAACCCCAGGAGGGTTTGGGTTGGAAGGGACTTTAGGGATTGTCTTGTTCCATCTCTTTGCCATGGGCAGGGACACCTTCCCCCGTCCCAGCCTGCTCCAAGCCTGACCTTGGACATTTCCAGGGATCCAGGGGCAGCCACAGCTGCTCTGGGCACCCTGTGCCAGGCTCCCACAGGGATGTGACATGGTGACATGAAGGCTGAAAGCAGCAAGGTCCCACTGCCATGGCACAGAGAGGGCAGGATGCTCTGGGGCACCTGCACCTTAATGTTGGTCTCCCTGGTCACAAAATCCCTCTGGTCACAAAGCTGCCCCAAACTGCCAGGCAGAGCAATGGGGTGATGCCACTCTCAGCAGAGACCCACAGAGCTGCTGGGCACACCTGAGCAACCAAACAAACCATGGAATGAAAACCAGGATAACTTCACCCATGGAAGGACTAAGAAGAAGAAGAAGGGAATATTCAGCTCCCAGAGGTGTTCCTTCTTGCAGAAGGCAGAGCTGATCTCCCCTTGCCCCCACACCCATGTCCTGCAGGCTCCTCCAGTGCCACTCACACTTTTCCAGTCAGCCTGGCGGGGAAAAGCTGTGGCTGCTGCTGCTCTGCTCCCTCTCCCCCTCTGATTAACAGCTTAAATGAGAACTGAAGGCTGCCCAAGGGCTGCAATACATTTTCACGCTCCTGCCGCCGCAGCCAACAAGGCAATGTCCAGCTCCCTTCAAGGTCACTCACAACCTTCAAGTGACTTTCCAGTGCTTGTGTCCTGTGGTTTTAGATCCTGGAGTGAAGAGATGGGAGTGCTGGGGCTTGGCTCTGGCCCACGTGATAATGGGCTGGGAAATGTCAGCAGTAAAATAAACACGAAATTTTGTGCAGGTAAATAACTCACATAGGATTTGATTTTTTGGTTGTTTTTTTTTTGTCTGCTTGTAAATCATAGATCAACTGCATGGTTTGGATTGGAAGGGACCTTAAAGATCATCTAATTCCAACACCCTCCCATGTGCAGGGACACCTTCCACTATCCCAGGGTGCTGCAATGCCCATCCAACCTGACCTTGGACACTTCCAGGTGATGCCTTGGGAAGGCTGGCCTGGAGCAGAGGCTGGACAGAGCTAAAGAATAAAGCAGGGATTTATTAAAAGGATCTTCTCAATGGAGACCTTGGGCAGCACAAGAGCCCAGCCAGGGCTGCACCCAGGATGATCCAAAATGGTCACAAAATGCATGAGTGCTCCCGGGGTCTCTCACTGTGATCAGTTCTGCTCCATTTGCATGTTGGGGTTCATTGTCCAATTACAGCCCAAGCCCATGAAGTCTCATCCTCGTTTTTCTCTCTTCAGCCCACGTTGTTTGTGCTCCTGGGTCTGAGATTTGGATCATTTGTCCTTGGTGCCCAGCTAGAGAAGGAATTGTTGTGTCTTCCTGCTCTGTGCAGAGAGCTCACCATCCCCTAATATGACCCACACACTAAAGCAGCACAGAATCTGAAAAATATAAAAGCTAAAACCTGAGGCATAACAGGAATGGGTTATCTTCCACCCCTCTGTGCCTGTATTTTATCACCTTCACTGTAAAGATCTTTTTAACTGTGTGTAAGGTGACAGCCTTACATACAATAAATACACTTAAAAAGATATTTGTTACCACTTTTCTCCCTCTCATAATCGTCCTTGCTCATGTGCTGTTGGAATTGGTGTGGCTGTGGTGGTAGGGATGTGATTTTCTGAAGAAGATGCCTGAAATCCCTCCTTCCAACCTCTGATGCAAGGACAAGGTTTCTGAGTGCTGGCACTGATGCCCCAGCTTTTATATTTTTCAGATTCTGTGCTGCTTTAGTCTGTGGGTTTGGGCTTCATATGAGGGGATGGTGAGCTCTCTGCACAGAGCAGGAAAACAAAACAATTCCTGCTCTAGCTGGGCACCAAGGACAAATGATCCAGATCTCAGGCCCAAGAGCACAAACAATGTGGGCTGGAGAGAGAAAAACAAGCAGGATGGGACTTCATGGGCCAAAACTGTAATTGGATAATTAACCCCAATATGCAAATGGAGCAGAACTTATAAAAGTGAGAGACCCTGTGAGTGGTTGTGCATTTTGTGACCATTTTGTTTCATTTTGAGTTCATTTTGTGACCATTTTGGTTCATCTTGGGTGCAGCCCTGGCTGGGCTCTTGTGCTGCCCAGGGTGGATCCATTGAGGAGATAATTTTCATAAATCCCTGCTTCATTCTTTAGCTCTGTCTGGTCTCTGTTCAAGATCAGCCTACGCAAGGCATCAGCACAAGTGCCCCACCTGCACTGGCAGGAAATGTGTCCCTGCAGGATGTCCTGGGATTCCCGGACACAGTTAATGGTTCAGTGCTGCTTTATGGCTCTTCAGGACACGCTGCTGTTTTTGTGAGGCTCAGAGATCTTGGAGCGTGCTGCAAAAAACTTCCTTTGAGTCGCTCCTCACAGCGGCTTTTAACACCTGCAGAAGCTGCAACATGCTCCAGAGCTGGTGGAGAAACAATTTCTGAGCTGTTGGAGCTTTTCTTGCCAGAGTGGGCAGGCAGGGAGTGAATATCCATGGGGGCAAGGAGGCAGGATGTTGCAGGGTGAATGTGTGACACACCTCTGTGTCCAAACACAGCCTTGCTGCTCCTGAAGGACCTCCTGGATGGCAGCAGGGATGATAGAATAGGTGATCTTTAATATCTTTTCCAGTCCAAACCAGCCTGGGATTCTAGATGTCTGTAATTGTCAGATTAAGTTTTTTTTCTGACCCAGAGATGGGGCAACTGGGAGGTGTTTTAAAAACTTTTATTATATTTTTATAGAATCTTTTTTCTATAAAATATTTGTTACTTATAATAGATATTTTTGATAGATATGTTTAATATATGTAATATATATTTATAATTTATTCTATTTTTATATAATGTGAAGGGTGAGACAATACAGATGTTATAATTCACACTGTTATAATAAAAAGCCAACTATTTCTTTAAGAATTTTCTACAAATTCATTTCCCACATCTAATCATCCCATAGCCAAGGTGGTGTTTTATCCTTGGTGTGAAGGGATACAGGGTGGGCACATTAGGGAATGTCCCTAATTCCTGAGGCAGGGGGAAAACAGCACAGGGGATGAAAGTTGATTCCAGCTCAAGGGCTGATCTGAAGGAGAGAGCAGTTTCCCCCCTCAGCACAGCCCCTGCTCTAGGAAAGTGCCCATGTCTGGTGGGGATCCCGCTGGGATCCAGCCCCTTTTCCAGCTGGGAAAGGGAAGAGGTGGCTGGGTGTGAGCAGGGGACAAACACAGAGCAAAGCCTGAGCTCGTCCCTGCTCTGGGAAGGGACCGTGGCTCTGCTCAGCAGCTCAAACCTCACACACATCCCTCCCCAAAAGGGAAATAATTGCCATATTCATTTGTGCAGGGAAATAATTACTTCATTCATGACACAAAGTCAATTTTTGTCCTGAACCAGAGGGAGCTCTGCACTGACAGAGGGAATTTGAAGGAGAGCAACAATCAGCCTGGCATTTGTATCCTCAATTAAAGGCGAGAAGGAGCCAGCGGTGAGTTGTGGGGGCTTTTCTTTTTCCCTCTCCCTCTGTTTTTTTGCACATCAAATTAGATAACAGCTAAAATGTTCTGGCTTCTCCAGCTCAGGCTTGGGGGAGAGAAAAGGTCTCCTTTAACTTTATTAACTTCATTAGTACTGAAATCAAAAGCTGACTGGGGCAGGAGCTCTTTCCCTCCCTCATTTTGTGGCAGCTGGGTGAGGGCTGATGGGCAGATAGGGGCAACCTGTTGGTGCTTTAGTGGGGCCAGGAGAGGCACAGGCAAGTGCTTCACCCAGGTGAAACTGTTTATAAGGGTTAAAAGGGAAAAGATTTTTAAAAAAGCACCTGGGGCCAGTGTGCTGTGGGAGAAGGTGTCTGATATGGGCTCAGGAATGTGGGAAAATGGGAGTTCTGGGTGAGGGGGAAAGGACATCCTGCAGTGGGAGGATGGGTTCTCTCATAGGTGAATTATAAACTGGAGCCTTTGGAATGGCTGCTGAGCTCTGGGATGGCTCCAGATCCCTCAGAGCTGAGTGTCCAGCATCTTGCAGCAGAAGGCATCCCATGCTCCGTGTGGATTGTCCCCTGGAGTCACTCCTGTGTCACCTGCTCTGGAGGGAAGCTGAGGGCACTGCTGGCTCACCTGGAGCAGAGGGAGGGGCATGTCTGCACGGGCTAATTGATAGCTACTAAATTATGTGGGACAAAAGGCAATTGCAGGGGTTTTTTTTGAGTAAATATATGTGTTTTTCCCCATCTGCATCACCATGGTTGAAGGGGTGATCTGTGATAGAAAATTGTCAAAACATTGAGGAATATTTCAGCAGGAGCCACATACCTTGTACAGGGCTTTTCTTAAATCTTTAACCGAATCTCAGATCTTTGATAGGGCTGTTTAGGAGTTTATTGAGCAGCAGTGGGAGCAGGGAGCCCAAGGGGGTCTGGGCTGTGATATCCTTCTGTGAGGCTCAGCACTTCCCTTGGGATGGGGCTGTCCAGCTCAGCCAGCACCACAGGGAATGTCATGGAATCCTGTAATGGGTTTGGAATCCTATAATGGGTTTGGAATGGCTCAGAAGGGCCCTCACAGACTGTCTACTTCCAACCCAAATATCCTTAAGGCCCTCCATATGGCGAGCTTTCCCTGCCTCCAAAACCAAGTGCAGAATGTGAAGATCAGCCCTGGCTCCATCTTCCTCCCTGCATCCCTCAGAGCATTCCCAGCCTGTGTTTCTCCTGGGCACTGGCTAAATCTGCTTCCTGAGCCTCACATACCAGAGCACAGCCCTCTCAGAAGGATGAAGATCAGGTTTGCAAAGCTGTTTTTTCTCCTCCACGTTGACTTTTCAGTGTCAGCACCTGGCTCCAGCAGGGAGGCTGTCCTTGTTGGAGGGGTCTGAACAGGAGGTTTGGGATCAGCCAGCCCAATCCACGAGCATTTGCACCACAGGGGAAGCAGGGAGCAGCTCTCAGCCTGGTGAGTGGAAAAGTCCTGCTGGCTGGTAGCTATTTTGAGGGAAGGCATTAATTGAGGACCAGGGGGAAAACAATAAAGCCATCCCCGAAATAGAAGCTGTCAAAATGTCGTTGCTAGGAGTGAAGCCCAGCCCAATTTATGGTATTTTCTTCCTGTTGCAGAGCTTCAAAGCAGCTGTAAGGGGGCCCAGGTTTGGGGGTTTCTTTGCTCCCACCAAACCCAAACTTGCCAAAGATGTGCCCGGGGCCGGCGCCGGGCAGCAGCGCCAGCCGGGCACACGTCAGGCCTGATGCTGTTCCCTGACATTTAGAAGGTGCCTTTGGGGCCCTTTGCATTTGCTGCTCCAAAGATTTGCTTGTTTGTTTTGGAAATTAGCAGCCTTTGAGCTTTTTTATTGAGAAAGCCTCTAAGAAAAAGGGGCTTTTTTCACATGGAGGGAGGATCGCCTGCGGGACGGAGGTTTTGCTTCCAGGATAGGGAGAGAGAAGAGGGGTTTTTAAGGAATAGTTTTGATGTTTCATGTACAAAGGCAGTGTCAGTGTAGCACTGGGTGGGTGGTTCTGCGAGCAGGAGCTCCTGCTGCTGGAACACCGGCCAGGGGATGGGACCTGGGGAGGATCAGCATCCCAACAGGACTGATTCTCCCAGCAGCCCCAAGTGGAAGCAGGGTGGTTTTTGCTTCTCCCACCCCACACTGCCTCTCCACAAACAGCATTTCAGCTGAAGAAGCAGGATGAAGGCTAGTGAGGGGAGGAAGGGAGGAAAAATCCTGCTCTGCTTCCTGGGCTGGGCTCATGTGGTGGCCCATGAGGGCTGTTGGTGTCAGAGCCCTTCCTGCAGAGTCCTTTTGGATGGTTCCCATTCCATGATTTCCAAGAACCCCTCAGGAAAAGCATTCTCCTTCCACCAATATTATCTCACAGCACTTGCCATCTTTTTTTCTCCCCCATGCAGAAAGCTGCAAACCGAGACCCCGAGGCGCCCGTGCAGCACCGAGACAACTCTGAGATCTCTCTTTTAAAGCTATATTTTCCATTTTGCAGTGTTCAAACACCATCTGCTGTTTTGCACGGCGGCGCTTTCACAGGAGGGGAGCGTTTTTAGGTGTAAATTGTTCTTTAAAGTACATATTGACAGTGCTGGAGGCTGGAAAAACCCTACAGAAAGTACCACAGCCCTGGCCTGCAGTGGCCACCCTCACTGTGGGGGGACTTCATGGTTAGATGGGATATTGGGAAGGGATTTTTTTCTGTGAGGCACAGGGTGCCCAGAGAAGCTGTGGCTGCCCCTGGATCCCTGGAAGTGTCCAAGGTTGAGTTGGACAGGGCTTGGAGCAACCTGGGATAGGGGAAGGTGTCCCTGCCCTTGGACAGGGGGGTTGGAATGACTCTTTAAGGTCCCTTGCAACCCAAACCTTGTAGGATTTTATGAATCAAGGCCAGCATCACCCCAAAAAGACCCCTTGGGTTTATAATAATTAACTGACAATGCTGCCTGTGATGTACAACTTTTGGGGCACTGGGGTTGTTCAGAGCAACAAGGCTTCGTTTCAGAGGGATGCTCCTGACAAAAACCAGGGTAATGAGACCACCCTCAGTTAATCCCCTGTCTCCCTTTCAAGGCAAGTAAAGCAACAGCAAATAACTGGTGGAGAAACTTAGTCCCTGCTCTGTAGCACTTCAACCAAACACGATGACAATAATTGCAGCAGCTCTGCCATCCCCTGCTCCAGTGTCCCTGGGATGGAATGGCTGCAGCCCTGCACTGTCCCAGCACTAACTGGGTGGCTCATTGCCAGCTATTACCTTATTTATTTTGTGAGCTGTGTGGTCTTTGTGAGGGTCCCCAGGAGGAGGGAAGAGATGAATCTGACTCCGTGTTCTCAGAAGGCTGATTTATTATTATATGATACTATATTATATTAAAGAATGCTATACTAAACTATACTAAACTCTAAAGAAAGGATACATCAGAAGGCTTAACAAGAATAAATAATAAAAACTCGTGGCTGATTCCTCAGAGTCTGACATAGCTGGACGGTGATTGGGCACTAAGAAAAAACAATTCACATGTTTGATAAACAATCTCCATATTGCATTGCAAAACACAGGAGAAACAATGAGATAACTATTGTTTTTCTTTTTCTCTGAGGCTTCTCAGCTTCCCAGGAGAAAATCAGGGATTTTTCAGAAAATATCACAGTGGCAAGCTATAATTTATGTTGGGCCAAGTGGCCCAATTACACCAAGGTCAGGGAGTGGCTCCTGAGAAAAGCATGAGAGCCAGAGCCCAGTGGTGCAGCAGCCTCTGGCCCAGCCTCTCCAGGAGGATGCTCCCAAATCCCTGCATGGCCCAGGCTCAGGCATGCTCCCCAGCCAAGCACAGGGAACCAGAAGATGATTTTCACACGGGACCTTTATTTTTTCTCCCATTTTTCTATTTCATCTTCTCTTTTTTTTTTTTTTTCTCCTGCCTTTCCAGGTTCTTGCTGGCAACAACAGCCGTTGTGTTTTGACGAGTTAATAAACATCTCCCCCAGGAGCGAGGGAGCTCCAGCATGCTCTGCTTCACCTGTGTTTTACGTCTTGACTAACAGAGTTTGCCGAGCAAGAGGTGTTTTTCTAATCTGAGAACTCGCTGCCTCACGTTTCCCACCTCTCCCCGGAGCTGCCGCGCTTCCCTGCTGCTTCCCTGATGCTTCTGTTATCTCCTGGAGGGCAACCGTGGCTGCAGCCCCCCTCCTCCTTCCTGCCACCCCCAATCCCACGTTATCACTTGGATCCCGTGCCTTGGAGCCGTTTATCAGCCTCAGAAGTTGAGATAGCAGGGTTCATCTTGCTCTGGGACCTGTGTGCTCCCATGGCACAGGATTCCTGTGCTGACAAGATTGCCTTCATCACCAAAAACACCACGAGCTGCTGCTGAGTGCCAGGGCTCTGCAGGGCTGGCACACCTTGTCCTGCTCCTCCCAAGCACCTCTATCATTGCTCCACCAACACAGAGCCTCATGACCTGTGGGTTTTCACAGCCTTGTGGACCAAAATCCAAGATTTCATCATCATTTGCAGACCATCATGTGAGGAAGGCATCAGAAACCTGAAGAGGGACACTGCTCCAGAACCTGCTGTTACTAGGATGCCCCTCAGGGCTGCATCCACCTGGAGGTGGCTGCTGCCTTCGTGCCTTTTGGCAAGAAGAATCCAGTCCTTGGACGTGGCATGAGGCAGCCCTGGGAAGGTGGAACGTGGTCCGCAGAGCCAAATTGCCAGTTCCAACTTGTAGAACATTATTGCTTCTGAATTATGGATGGTTATTGCCCCTCCTCGACAATAAATTATTGAGCTGACATGCTGGATGGAGAGTGAGGAGCAGGGGGCTTGCTCATGGCAGGCGGGTCTGGAATGTGGTATCTTCACGGGGAGTGGGGGATGTTTTTTCCCCCTTTCCTTCCTGAGCAAGAGCATCTCAGCCTGAAGCTGTGGAAACAGCAGAGCCCTGCTCACCCTGTCTCACCCAGCCAACTGTGAGGGCAGCCCTAGCCAAAAATCCCTGGTGAGGGATCCTGGAGAATCCCTGAACTGGAACACGGATAGAAACTCCAGGGTCCCCTGTCTGCCTATCCTGCAGCACCATCACAGGCACTTCTGAGCCCAGTAACCTCTCCTTGGCCTCAGGGGGGTGTGGGACATGGTTTATTTAGCTGATTAGGTGCTATTTATCTCCCAGGCTGTGCTGGTCCAGCAATTCTGGCAAGGTCTGCTGAGCCCTTGTCCGACACGTGCTGCCAACAGCCTTGGGCTTTAGGGACTCCCTGAGGGGGCTGTTCCATCATGTTTAACAGACCTTGACAGACCCGTGTGCCCCGTGAGTTTGCCTAAATGCTTTCTGGGGGCCACTTAGGCTGCAGGTCTCCATAGCACCCTGTGGCAATGAGTTCCATAATTTAATCGTGGGTGGCGTGGAAAAAGTGCAGTCTTTTGTTTGTCCCTAAATCTGCTGCCTGATAACTCGATTTGGACACTCCTAGTTCCTCTCTCGGAAGAAACGGGGAATTATCACTGCCTCTGCACCTGCTCCACAGCACTGGTGCTTTTATACTGTCCTGCTGTGGCTTTTCTTTCTCTCTCCTTTATTCATCCCTCCTGGCAATTTCCAATTCTCCTGCCAGCTCTGCTTCACACGGAGGACGGAGATGGAAAGATCACTGCTTTGCTTTTGTGGCTGTGCTGATCTCCCTCTTCTCTACCAGATGCTCAGGAGGCACTGCTGACCCCGGTCCAGGTGCTGACAGCTCCCTCTGGAGCAAGCCCTGGTGTCAGTGAACACCCCCAAGGCACGTCCTGGTGGTTTGGGGTGCTCACTCCTTCCCCTGTGTTTCCTGTGTGCACATGTGGGGCTGTTCCCAGCCACCCAGCCCAGCCCCTGACACAGGAAAAGGTTCCTAACATGGAATACCACGTTGGGAATGGCCACCTTGGGAATCACCATCTCCTAACCAGGCTTTCCTGGCCCCAAGGAGCAGCTTTCACCTCCACCCTCCTGTGGGACACAGATGCTGTGAAGCAGCACCAAGGTGGAGGAGAGAGGTGACACCAGGGTCCAAGAGGACACAGGGGAATTGGAGGGGAAGGGTTTGTGTCTGTCTCTCCCCATGCCCAGCAGGATTTCCATCTCATCTCAAGCTGAAGCCAAGGAGACTCTGGAGACAAGGAGAAACTGAAGCGCTTTCCCTAATCGAATCACACGCCAGCGTCACTTGTAAAGCTCTGCAAAGCAGAAAGGACTTGGGAGCCACTGAACCACAAACTCCTGCTCCCTCCCCAGTGCCTCGTGGAGATCCTGCCTCTCTTCTCCATCTCTTGCCCATGAGCTCAGCCTGGGAGGGAGCCAGGACTCGGAGCTCCTACCTCATTCCCCACACCTGCATACCAGGTATCCCATGGGCTGGAGGATTTGGGGATATGTAAATGGTGGCTCCATTGTCTGGGTCTTCATCTTGGTGTGTTCTGCCTTCTCTGGTCGTGTCCCTGACAGGGGATGCATGATCATGGTAATCAAGGGGGTCTCCTCCATCCTCAGCTTCCATGAAGGTGCTGCAGCTTCTCCTGGGCCTTGCTCAGCTCCCTCAGGAGCCCCCAAGCATGGAATGTGCCTCCCTGTTTGAGGGGCAGGACAGTCCCTCGCCTTCACCTCCCTGCCCTGAACTCAACCTGGGGAGCCCTAGTGTGGGATGGGGGAGCCCATGGAGAGGGGGAAGGAAGGGAAGGTGCTGGCTGTTTCACCCTCAGGGAGCATGGGAGAATATCAGCAGGGAATCACAGAATCATGGAATGGTTTGAGTTGGAAGGGACTCTAAGGATCACCTTGTCGTAACCCCCTGATATGGGCAGGGACAGCTTCCACTGGACCAGGTGGCTCCAAGCCCTGTCCAGCCTGGCCTTGGACTCTCCCAGGAATGGGGCAGCCACAGCTGCTCTGGGCACCCTTTGCCAGGGCCTCCCCACCCTCACAGGGAAGAATTTCAATCTTGCATCTCCTCTAAATCTCCCCTCTTTCAGTTTCAAACAGTTCCCCCATGTCCTCTCACTGCCTGCCCAGTGCAGCTGGCCCACGGCAAACTGAGGGGACACGCTCAGGTGATCCAGGTGTCCCCCAGCAACAACCTGCCTGTCAAAATACACTGCTCCACCTGTTTTACAGAAAAACCTGCTCTGTCCTCTTCCAACCCCTTTTCTGCCCTGTGTAGAGAAATAAATTCCCCGTCCTTTTCAGGCAGCATCCAGGACGTCTCCGTGGCAGAAACAGCATCCTTGCAGCAGGTCTGTCAGCAAGAATTTCTGCAGCCTCCTCTGGTGCTCCCAGAGCTCTCAGGTGAGGAAATCGTCAGCAGTAGGGGAAAAAAAATGAAATGAACCACAGCTAACTCAGTGTTTACTTTGTGCCTGGTAACAACAAGCTCCCTGTAAAAATTCCCTCTTTACAAAAAGCAGATTCTGGGCTCAGCTGCATTCCCAGAGGAAGGAAGAGGATTTTTGTGAGGCAAGAGGGGACGTGGTGGGGTGAGCTGATGGGGAGGCAGTGCCAGGGCATCCAGGCAGCAGCATCCCAGGGAAAGCAGAGCTCTCTGCAAGGCTTTTCCATGCTGGGGAAGCCCTTCCCAGTGCCTCGACCCCACGTTATCAGTAGCTTTGCTGTGTATCCCCTCTTTTTCCCCTGTGTGCTGGTCTTCAGGCGCTCTCTCCTTCCTAATGCCTAATTAGGTTGGCAGGGCTGTTTGTCCCGATAGCACAGCTATGGATAATGCCATGCAAATTGCCTCCAAGACCTCTGAACCCCCAAATAAAAAAGCACCTCTGGCTACCCCTGGGTGCAGCCTTTCCAGCTGCCCACAGCTGCAAATAACATCTGAGGGATTAAAAGAACAAGCTCTTAAAAAAAAAAAAAGTAAAGAAAATGTTTTGTCCTTCTTCTCACTGATTGAAATTTTCTTCATACCATAAAGATGTCTTGATAAGTTGGTGCTAGCAAGCCCAGCCTTATATCAGACACTGAGATATTTAGTGAGGCGCAAGGTCTGAAAGGAATCAACAGAGGATGTTTCAGCCCACCTCAGGTCTGTTCTGCCTCCGAAGTTTGGGTGGGAAAAGAAACCCACCCCTCCCATGACGGTGCGGTCAGAGCTGAAGGGCGCCGTGACCTTGAATCCCAAACAAGTGAGTCTTTGTCTCACCTCCTGATTAAGGGCTGGGAGTTCCCTCTGTTTATTATTCATCTGATTGCCATCTTTTTTAACGCTTTCATGCACCCCCTTCCTCCTGGCTGTGCCTGAGAGCCGAATGTCCAGCCCGGCGAGGTCCCTGCTCAGGTGTGTCACCAGCAGGATGTGCTGTCACCAGGGACCTGCTGCACCCTGAGGTGGGAGCAGTGCCTGGTGCAGAATGCCAGGAACCCTTTCCCGTGTGCCATCCCTTGCACCCAGCCCCTCTGGGGCTGATGGCAAGGGCTGGAGCCTGCCCGGGGTAGTTCCTCACACCTCGGGTCGCTGTTGGGAGCGGTCCTGCCGCGCCGGGAATTTGATTGACACGCTCACGCCTGGCCATTAGAGGGAAAACGAGGGCTAGTGCGTAAACACCTGGGAGGAAAAACAGCCCTTTGCCTTAATGATAGTTTGTCATGTCATATTTTTCTCCAGTGGCGCAATGGGGGTAAGTGAACCCTTCATTTGCATGGCTTTAATTTGTATTTTGAATACCAGACCGCCTTAAACGCTGCCCGGTTTAACCCACCCGCTCTCGCTCGTTTTCCACACTCTGCTTCCCAAAGCAGGCACTTGGAAATTGCACTCATCTGGCCTGATCCAGCTGGAAAACACCTTTTTGTCCTGCTTTATTTTCCCAGAGCTCTTACCTCCTGAACCAGCACTGCTGGGTTAGCATCAGGTGCATCCCTTCTCCAGGCTCTTCCCTTACAGCTTCACTCCCTCGACAGCAACTGGAAATGAGATTTTTTTTTTTTCCCTTTTCCTGCTCTTCAGCCTTTTCTGGCACGTCCCACTGCTCTGTAAACACCGGCTGAAGTGCAGCCGAGTGTGGGATGCTCGGGGTAGCACTCAAGGCAGCTGCACCACCACTGATGTGCAGGTGGCCCAAGCAGCATGCCATGAGTCCCTCCTGGTTTTGGGGAGAGGGTGGGAGAAGGAGCCTGGGCAGCAGGGGGGTCTATTTTTAAAATATACTGTGAAAGGGAGCAACACCCTTAACTACAGATCGATCTTTCCTTGTGTAATTAAATTTGACACAATAAGTCATCTACATACAGCCAAGGATCTCTAATTCTTGAGGCTCAGAAGATGCCTTGGGAAGGTGAGGAACCCACTATTCCCATGCATCCACCAGAATCCAAAGATTATTTGGGGATGATCCCATAAATGTGCCTGGCGTAGCTTTTTGAATATTTTTTGGGATTGGCCAAACATCCGCTGGCACACCAACCAAACAGGAGGAAAATGGTTTCTTGGGGATCGTGTTGGACAAACATATGGTATCTAGACCTGAAGCATTAACTAAAGTCACCAAACATTTCTTTTAGGTTGGCTAACTGGCAAGGGCACCTGACTGCTCCAGAAGGTTCTCCAAGGTGGATTTTCATTTTTTTGGGTGACAGCTTGCCTGCAACACCCCGATGGAACAGCCTCTGCATCCCACCGGGGTTTGCACTGCAAGGTGGATTTTCATTTTTGGGTGACAGCTTGCATGCAGCACCCCGATGGAACAGCTTCTGCATCCTGCCAGGGTTTGCACTCCCTCTGAAGGCTGGGAGCAGGCTGAGCCCTCGGAGCAAGCCCGTGGCTGGAGCAGCTCACCGAGCCCGGGGAGCTCCGGCGCCAAACCCACAGCCCCGGCTGCACCGGGCTGGCGAGGCACAGGCTGTAATTACTGCCAGGGCGCCTTCCCCCACTGCCCCGGCCCGAGGAGCTGAGCAGCTGCCAGCAATTAAAACTAGTTAGCAGTTCCCATGATGTTTTAACCATTTCTAGGGAGCCGTGGCAGCCCCTCCTTCCTCAGAGGGAAAAAATCGGATTTGTTGGCACACTGATGGCACAGACACTGCTGCAGCATGGGGCTTTGCTGAGTTTGGGGGTCTCTCTTCCCCCAGAAAAGCATTGCTGAGTCCTTTTGGCCTCCCCCTCTTCCTCCACTGAGCCAGGGTGGGGTTTAAACCCATTCTGAGGAGGGACTCAGTGGCTGGAAAAATGCAGTCCCACCAAAGCTCTCAGAGCTGTGAGGTTGTTTACAATTCTTTACAAAGACAGAGATATGGGCATATCATGGAACAGTTTGGGTTGGAAAGGACCTTAAAGATCATTTAGTTGCAACCCTCTGCCACGGGCAGGGACAACTTCCACTGTCCCAGGCTGCTCCAAGCCCTGTCCAGCCTGGCCTCGGGCACTGCCAGGGATCCAGGGGCAGCCACAGCTTCTCTGGACACCCTGTGCCAGGGCCTGTCCACCTTCACAGGAAAAAGTTCCTTCTCACATCTCCTCTAAATCTCTCCTCTTTCAGCTGAACACCATTCCCCTGTCCTTGTACTATCTGCCCCAATAAAAAGTCACTCTCCATCCTTTTTATTAGCCCCCCTTAAACCCAAAAGGCCACATATCAAGAAGCAGTTGTAGGATACCTCCCTCAGTGCGTGAATTTCATCTTTTATTACTCGTGTGCGTCTGCATCTGTTATTTTTATTCTCCTGCAGGTACATCCTGGAGCCTGGGTTTTAATGCCCATTTTTTTTGGGGGGGGGGGAGGTGAGAGGAGGGTTATGAGAAAGATGGAGAGAGACTTTTTAAAAGAGCATGACAAAGGGGGATGGCTTCACACCGAAACAGGGCAGGGTCAGATGGGGATATTACAAAGGAGTTGTTCCATGTGAGGGAGGTGAGGCCCTGGCACAGGTAGTGCAGAGCAGCTGTGCCTGCCCCATCCCTGGAAGTACCCAAGGCCGGTTTGGACGGGGCTCGGAGGAAGGAGATGATCTCGCAGTCCCTTCCACCCCAGTGTGCCAAGAGCGCGGCAGGACGCTGCCTTCACGCCTCACAGAATTTCCGCGGGGGGCTCGAGGGGCCCAGCTCCGCTGGCTCCCCCTGCTGCCCGCCGGCCCCGCTGCACAGCGGCTCCCCGCGCATCCATCCATCCATGCATCCCTCCATCCCCCGGGATGCCTGCGCTGGCCCCGCGCATCCCGGGCCGTGCCGGGCGGGGCGGGGCCGAGCCCGGGCGGGGCTGCTGGCAGAGCCCGCCCCGGCCC